CGACAATCACTGACAAAAGCCTGCTTTGGTTCAGACTTGGTTACGTCAAAAGACTTCAATGAAAAGTCAACTGATGGTACCAGTGTTCCTTTCATGTGCCTTTTCCTAGCTGCTAACTTTGTCAAACATCTACAGTTTCCTCTTTAATTCTATAAACACTGTGATGTCATTCAGGGTCTGACAAGAGATGGGCCCCATGTCTCTTTCCGGGGTTCAAACCCAGTGAGTAGAGAATCAGCTTATTCTGTGGTATAATTGTTGCATTCCAGAGTGCTACGGAAACCAGCCTTAAGCCTATTATTAGCCATATGGAGAGTGCTACAGGCCTGGCTGGTTAGAGAGGGAAACGCAGTGCTGGATGAGTGCCAAATCCTCGAGGAGACCGCAAGAAATTCCTTGTTTTTAATTAGGAATTCAATACCAAGACTGCTATTAGTGATTAGTATGTAATTAACAGCACGAGCAGTGTTACATATACGAGTTAAACTATGTGTATATATTTATATATATAAGTGCCTCATCTCATTGTTTCAGATTCACAACTTCTTGCAAATCGGGGAATTAAACAATATTTGTTGCATGAAGTATTACCACAGTTATAAATCCCAACATTAACTTTGTATTGAAGAAGAAATACTTTGTTGTTGTATATTATTTTACAAGCTATATATTTTGGTTTTTAGTTTTTGAGAGTTTGCTTAAACTGTGAAGAACAATCAGAGTATTTTCTACCTTCAGTAATATAGGCTCCATCTATACACTTTAATACTTAGATTTCCATTGTGATATGAGCTTTGATTTGAAATATAAAAATAATGTCAGAGTCAAAGTTTAGTTTGAATGACATGGGATCTGTATTGCATATTATAATGTATTACAGCGTCAGCAAGGAGACTTTGAGTCACACACACACATCTGGACAGCAGATTGGTCTAACGTGACATGTAAACTGGGAGCAACAGTTATGTATACGTTACCCAGTGGCAAAGGGGTCAACACAGAGACAGAATGAAACAAACAGACCGCTGTGGCGTTCTTCTCTTCCTGAAATGACTCTCGCAGACCAAAGCAAGCCGCCGTACACACAATCGCATCATTTCAGCCCCAGACGTACATGTGCATCATATTCTGAAGATGCACAGACACACACACTGTGTTTTCCACAGACTATCTCAAAGCTGAATCACAACAAGCACAGCACTGTGGTGAAATTTCACTTGTGCTCATAACACACAAGCTCAGGAGCCCTGGTGCAGCTACATCCACATAATAAAAAAAACTCCCAGCAGCCAATGACAACAGCCTTTCCCCACACACGTAAGTACACTTGACACTGTGCACCGATCTCCACTGAGCTCAGTCGGAGATCTCCCACAGAGCAGGCAGGAGAGGACAGGAGGCAGAATAATGGCCCAGTGCTGATTCATAGGTGATTGTCTGCGACATGTGGTGTTCAGCCAAAGGCCAAAGGCCATTGCGGTAGCGCTGCCCTTTACAGCGTCGCATTAGGCCCTGCTAATTCACAGGCAATTAGCCTGGCTGCATGGGAGCTAGCCTGAGGCGATGGGGGTCGCCAGGGAGCAGCACCGACTGCAACAAACCATTCGGTGAAGGTACAGGACGAGACTATGTTTCTCAAGCGGTAAATAATGGGAAGGCCTTCACATTTCAATAATAATATAACTGTGAGGTGCGTGAGCTTTGAATAGCCAACACTTCCCATCGTTATGTTCAGCCTGAATAGAATGGAGCAGCATTGAATACGGATTCATCTTTCATAGCTTTTCATTTAATTCATTTATCATTTAGTCTTTAAATTGTCAAACAAATAGGGAGAAATAACAGCATGAAAGGAAAGCTAATTAAAGCAAAACGGAAAACGGAAAATACTGTAGGGCAGGTGGTGAAGGTCTTGCACTTGGAATAAAATAAAAAAAAGACATTCTCAAAATACCAAAAACATATTTCATTTGAGACAAACTGATGAATAAGAGACAAAGACAAAAGCACCAAAAGAGAAAGCCCTGCCTGGCTTTGGTTTCCCGCTGGGTGCTCTCTACGAGTTGTGGTAAAAGTGGACCCTAAAGTGGAGGGACACGTGGGTGTGAAAGGGCTGCAGAGAACATGGGAAAGTAGAGCGGGTGCATGGTGTAGGACACAGACAGAGAGCGGGAGAGATGTTGGGGAAGATAACATGAGGGACATAATGCTGTTCCAGTGATAAAACATAATGCGGGAATGATGCAGCCTGATGCAACGCTGTTTGCATTCTGCTCCAGTAGCTCCATTCGGTTGCTTTAAAAAAACAGAGATGCTTTTGGGTGCGTCAACGAGCTCCATAAAGAAATGGCAAACGCATTTGTGTGTTATCTAATTTCATGTTTGTTTTTTTGTTGCAGATTCCAAATCTCCTCCACAGCTCTGGAGGAAGGTGCTCAACATTACTCCTCAAATGAAAAGAGCTCTGCTAAGACACAAAAATCTCACGACCTTGGAAAGCATTTGAAAGTGTGTGTGTGTGTGTGTGTGTGTGTGTGTGTGTGTGTGTGTGTGTGTGTGTGTGTGCAACACATGCAGTAAGCCTGTGGTGTTCAACCAGTGTACGTAATTGTGTGATTTCTAAGGATGGAAGCTGACGTGTGTGTGTGTCCTGGTTTCAACTCTGCCGTTCCTGCGCTCCTCTCACATTATCATACAGAGCAGACGGAGTGCGTGTGCTGGGTAGTAAAACTCTCCTCTGCTCTCTGACAGTCTCCTCTCTCTTCTCCGACTCCCCCCCACCCTCATCTCCTCTCCTGCTGCGCTCCTTGTGTGTAATCTGCAGACTGCACACGTACACTGCCTACCTGAGCGGGAGTCTCTCTCTCTCTCTCTGTGTGTGTACGTGTGTGTGTGTGTGTGTGTGGGTGTGTCTGCACGCATGTGTGGCAGAGGGTGAAAGGAGACGACGAACACAACGGACCACGTATGAGGCGTTTTCTGAAAGCTCAAGTGTTTCGACTTGAGTCGGTACATTCAGAAAACACGGATTTCCAAGTGTGCAACGTGTGAGTCGATCATGTCTGCCGAGCGAGGCAGCCAGACAATCTCTGTGTCTGTGTCCCACTGTGTACAGCTGACAGCAATCACCTGAACTGGAATGAACCGGACTTACGTAACTTTCCCTGTGACGGCCATTGGCTGGTACAAAACAAGCCCCACTGTTTTGAGTCGGGTCATCCAGGAAGCAACAGTTTACAGCTTTTTCTAACACAGAAATGGGACTTTTGCTTTACCTTGAAGTACTGCTGAATTTGATACTTTACGGACTTCTTAAATATCAGTTCATGCACAAGTCAGAGGTTTCCTATTTCACCACAGACCTGTGTAAGACTGTATTACGTTTCACTGGTAACAAAAGAGGCCAAAAACAGAAAGGACAAACTGAGTGAGTTTTATAACTGTTGTGCTTTGAATGCTGCATATCATTGTGTGGTATTTAAATGGACCTGGCTTAACAGGAAAGCAACACAACTTATTATATGTATGTCACAACAAACTCTCTGCACTGTCATTGTGGATAAATGCCAGAACATGTGAAACTATCGCCACAACACCATCAGTGCAGCCCTTTAATGACGCAACTTAAATGCAGCCACACATACGCACTAATCAATGAATCTAAATGTGTAATTATGGGATTCTAAAACATCCCGGCGCCCAAGTACAACCAGCAGGAGAAGGCAGTCGTGAGCTGCAGCGAGAGATACCCTGAATGGTCCTAATAACCCATATCCTCTCTCTCTGAAACAGAAACAGAATTGATTGAATCCTACATGCAGGTAAGAAGCTCTGCCAACACAACCTGGCTTGTATCATAACCTTTTTGTCTCCGTTTCTGGCGTGCATCTCTGCTCAGGGAACGGGTGTGTTGAAGATTGTAGGCGGCGAACAAACACAGGTTTGTGAAAGGGAAAAGAAGAAGAGAAGAGGAGTGAGTGACTTGCTTGAGAGATGAAGATAGAAAGTGAAAGAGAGAGAAATAATGAGAGAAGAAGAAAAAATGTCGCCGCTCTCAGAGAGATGAATTGGTTGATAGTTTGCAGACAGCCTTTACAATGCGTCAGTGGAAGGACTGTATCCTTCCCCTTCTTCACTAATAAGGTAGAGAATCCCCAAGACACAACCGTAGGGATCTATTCATTCCTCTCCAATAACACTGCCACTTCTCTGCTCATACCAGCCAGGATTTGCATAGCGGCATTTACATAAGGATTTAATAATGTCGTCTGAATGAGACAACATGCGTCTGTCAATCATTCCTGGTTCACTAAAAGGTTTCTGTGCTCTTCCGGGCAACCGCTGGATCAGATGTGTGCAGTTTGAGCACTAAGCAATAGGGTTGAGTTCTGATAGCGTTTGATCAGTCCAGGATCAGGTTTAGTCTCGGTTTAGCTTTCTACATTTGGAAGTTATAAATAACTTCACTCGAAATGGAGATCTGTAATCACCTTTTGTTGCGTGGGAAGGTAGAAGCACTTTGAGCAGCTATGACACGATAATAACATGAGCACAATAAAACAAACAATTGTTGTCGCCTGCTTGTATTTCATGAGCTACTTGCTCCAAAACAGAAGGTCCTAATTCAGAATTACTAGGTTGCAATCCGACACAGACAAAAGCTATCCAAAAACCACATAGATAAATTCATTCCTTTAAAAAGAGACCACACTCCTTCAGCAGAGGATGCGCTATGAATAAAATAAAACAGCAGCAATTTAATAATAACGACCTAAGAGAAAATATTTATTTAAAGGCTTCTAAGTCTAATTTAATATCTGTTTATTAAATTCCAAAAAGTAATTGTCATTTAAAAGCATAAAAGTTTGACATAAGGTACTTCCGGGTCCACCCGGGTATTAGACACCTCGACACACAGACCTGAGACCAGATATAGAAGCTTAACCCCCAAAAAAGCTTGACAACATATTGCAAAGTGTTCCTCTCTTGTCTGGTCTTACCTTCCAGCCGCTGCCCGCCTCTCGGTAGTAGGGGAAGTTGTCACAGATCCACTGGTAGATCTCGCTGAGGGTCATCCGTTTGCGCGGCGAGCCGTTGATCGCAAAGGTGATCAGGCTGGCGTAGCTGTAGGGCGGTTTGCCGTCTCTGTGCTGCGCGGCTTCCTCCTGGTCCAGCGTCGTCCCCGGCTCCAGGTGGACCACTTTCTTGCCGGGCCCGTGATGGTGGCCGTGGTGGTGGTGTCCGTGGTGGTGGCTGTGGTGGTGGCCCGCGTCGGCCTTCTGGATGGCCGCTCTCATGCTGAGCTGGGGGAGCCAGTCCATTGAGGTCAGGCTGCTCTCCAGCTCGGAGGTCATGGCTCTTGTAGGATGAAGGGGTCCAAAGGGAAGGGGTGAGAGGCTCAGCGACGTGGCGTACGGAGGATCTCCTGTTGGCTCACTGAGTGGGTGCTGTGCAGCAGCCTTGGCTCAAGTCTGGAAGAGCAGGAGGTTTGTTTACTACGACTATTCATCTCCTTCAGCTGGAGCAGAAAGCACACTTGGCAAGAGACACGCAGATGTTAACTTGCACATCATTTTCCACATACAGTGCTGCTTTGTACAATGGAAAACTAAATATTTTGGCAGGTTCATCATTTCCTCTTTGCACATAAATATGATCTGCAACGTGCACTATGGATAAGAGAGAAACTTTAATCAATTGTATTCCATTAATTACACAGTGAAAAGCAGAGCAGTATGGGAGGCTAGGTATGAGTTAAGGGTCTTACTCTTCCCATTCCTTTCCATCGTTCTTTGGGCCAAAGCATCTGGGGAAGTCACCGAAGTGAAAGGTAGAGTCCTTCCCTCGTGCATCCTCACACGTTCTTCATTTAGCCACGGCAATGGCCGCTGCTGCAACGCACAAACACAAAAAACACACAAGACGGTGAACTCACGCTGCCAGACAGCCTTCATGAGATATTAATATCGCACAAGCGCTCAACTGGCCTCGGCATCTGTCCAGTCCGATTAAAACTCTGCTCTCTTTCCCTCTCTGTGTTCTGTCTATCTGGATTGCCTCTCTCGGTCTCGTTCGCTCCAAAGTGGAAATGGCAATTGGATCTGCGGAGTGACTAAAAGCTGGGGAATTGTTTTCACAAGTGCCTGCCAAATGGGGGGGGAACAGCGCGGGAGGAATTCCAACCCTCTAGAGGAGCCGAAAAGGCTCGTCCCCTTTCCCTCTCTGTGTAGCCCCCCGCACCGTGTTCCCATTCTCTGACTCTCGACGTGCCTCACTCTCCTGTCAAACAACCCTCCCCCCCACACACACACACACACACACACACACACACACACACACACACACACACACACCCCACACGCACACACACACACACTACTCCTCCAGCGTCTCAGATCCTGTTCAGACAGACACAACAACAATGAAAGAACTCAAGAAGTCCCAACATTTTAACTTGGAAGCTATTTTTAGAGCAGCGCTCAACTTAAAAATGTGTCCTGCATAAGAAGAGAACTCCTTATTTTTGGTGGTGGGGGCTTTTGAAAATACTTTGAAAAAACAAAGACGATCATTTGACACTAGAGTGAAATGACTCACCAATTGTTCTGTCACAGAACATTTGTAGATTTGTCACTACTGGACTGAGAATGACGTGTAACTGTTACTCATCACCGGAGCGAAGATGTTGCATTCGGACCACACTTTGATTCCACAAGGAGAATGGCCTCACTACGTTTCTCGGTGCTTTTTAGAAGATAAACATCCCGCATTCTGGGAAATGCAGGTACACCTGTGAGTATTATGAAAGAGATGGATACAGAGTGGGGGCCAATGCCAGTGAGTAGTTAACAATGGCTGGATGGATTCAGCCTCCTAAGGATACAAAAATCTACATCTCAACCTTCATCTGCCATCCCATGCAGCAACCTTCGCATGTCCTTGAACAACAAAGAGCCTATTGGCCCACGCATTCTCCATTCATGCTCACTGTATATAATCAAGGTGGGAGAACTTCAAGGAGCCTGCCTACCAGCAACACAAATCCCTGTCTCTCTCTCTCTCTCTCTCTCTCTCTCTCCACCAATCCCCCTGGAGAGCCAGCATGACACCTGGATGAAGAAGAGGAAGGGAAGTGCTCGGCTCCTGCAGAAACCTTGCTTAATTACAAGTAGAAAAAAAAAAATGTAAATGTTTAGCCGCAGACTCGTCAAGCCAAACAAGCCAGGCAGTGGGTCTACGGGAAATGAAAGAGGAACGGAGAGAAGAGATGTGCCCGATGAGGCCTCCCTCACAACACCACCCCCATCTCCTCCTCAAGGCCCTGCTACAGTGGGAGAAGCCATAGCCAACCCCCCCCCCCCCCTCTTACAAATCCCGGGAAGCCGTCTTAATTTGTGCACCTTTTCTTTTTTCGCTGAAGGGAAGGTGGCATTGCTAGTTGTAGTGGTGGCGGGTAGGTGGGGATGGGGGTGGTGACACACAAGACACATCACAACAAGTACTTATTTTCCCCTCATTAAAAGGAGGCTCAAGTTGCAAATCAGCCCGCCACAAGCCCTGACCTGCTGTGCCGCGCTGCCGTGGCTGCTGTTGTTGTCGAGAAGTTTGGGAGCGTGGGCTGGCTGCACGGCGGCACGGTGTAGCTTTCGCACCGTTAGCCCGGTGAGGCGTCGGGATGGTGAGTAATAGAAGAGAGCGGAGGGAGAGAGAGAGAGAGAGGAGAGGAGGGGCATGACTTGGCTTCTGGGGGAGAGGGGCCCTGCTCGGCTGGTAGACGCTATACCAATTACCTCGTCGACTCAGTTAACTGGTCCCAAGGTGACTGGGCCAACCTCAGCACTGTGCCTTTTGTTTCTGCTTTCTGCCGTTTCACATCAGCCTCGGAGGCCTGCATGGTCTCAGGGGAGGAAAAAAGACCACGGCAGAGAAGACGGCATACTGTATATCTCCTCTATCTTAGGGCTATCAGTTTTCTAAAGAAATGCATCGTATTGTATGCGTAGATGCTGAGTGCTAAACTCTCGTCTCGTGTAATTGTTCATGATTATCTGAGTGTACTGAAACAGCAACGTGTGAGAGAGAGAGAGGAAAGTAACCCTTCCGTCTATTTCGGTCTTTGTTGATGTTCTTTTGGGTCAAATTTAGCATTTCAGGGACAAATGTTTGGACTGGGAGCATCCATACAATCTATCAGTATACTGCACGTACTCCACTTATGTAGCCAGAGACGACTACATCATGCTCAAATTAAGATCCTTATCAAGTGCCTATGATGTAATTGTACTGTTTATTAAATGCAGGTGTCACTTTAAACACTATACTGATGTTATGTTATCATCAATAACAAAATGTATCTGTTTTCATTGATAAATATGTGATTAACTGCATGTTTAGAGACAAAACTGAGCCGAATAATTTAAAGTACATTTCGGAGAGTCGTCCCTGAAAGTGATTCTCCTTGCTGCAGGGCAGGAGAGAGCTAATTGTAACACAATGATTTAGGGGCTCATAGAGTAACACAAATGACACAATTCCTGCACAGTAAAAGACAAATCCCCGAGATACATTCTGTATCATCGATCAGGACACATCAAAAACTCCACCAACCACCAGGCACATTTCAAAGAGCTGTAGATGAAGAGAAAACAAAGGTAGTGAAGAGGGGATATCCTGGCAGCTGATCATACAGAAATACAGCACTGTTTGATTAAATAGTTTGAATGCTTGTAGTGTGAATGTGCATGGGAACGCACAATGTCAGAAATAGACATTTGGCTAACATTAGAAGAAGGAGAATATAGTGGCATCTCAGATTTTAATTTCTTACCCGACATTTCTTTGGCAACTTGGAAGTTGTGATCTATTTCGACTTCCAGAGAAGATTACAAGCATTAATATAAAAAGAAGAGCAAGGATTTGGATGCTTATGAACAAGAAATCTTTCATCCTCCAAAGAATTTAAACACATCACTCTATGCACTGTGCATGGGGGGGGGCTTTCATGACTGGGAACATTGTCCCTTTAAAAAGAGTTGAGGGTCCGTGTGTGATGAATGTATTCACCCATTAGACTTTGTAGCTGTGATGCACTCGTTCAGCTGTATGCATCCCTAACAGCTAACAGTCCCCCGCTGCTAGCAGGCTTTTAGAGTGAGAGAGGCTTTACAGTTCTGCATTTTAATAGAGAACTTTGAATGGAGTGACGGGGGATGGGTGAGCGAAGGGGGGGGAGCCAAAAGAAAGAGGCATCAAAATATTTTCAGAAGAAAATGAAGTAATGACAAAATACCCACCCGGAGCGCGCAAAAGCAGAGGGGGTTTCTGGGAAGGACTGCCTTGGCAACGGTAAGGCTAATGTGTCAAAAGAACGTCTGTAAGCATAGCGAGCGCTGTCGTGTCGAGGAGGGTGGGCCATTCAAAGGAAGAAGGAAAAGGTCCAAAAAGCAGTATTGAACGTCTTAATTACTTTCTGCATCAGCGCCAGAAAACATACCCCTGAAAAGGCTCAATTATAAGATATCAAGGCAAATCAGCTGCCCTTATGGCGGCTGCTTGCTCATCGCTCTATGGATGCTGGGTTTAGCAATTATCGCCTGATACTGTCTACGTATTCTCAAAGGAGACCTGGAGAGCCATCGATGAAACGCACCGTTTCAACCTCAGATCCAGTTTGTTGGCCTTACTGCTTAAAGCGAGTGGTCAGGCAGACTAATGCTTAAGAGGAATAAATAACATGGGGGGAGAGTAGGCCTAATTCAGAGAAAGGACAATAATGAATCAGAACAACACTTTCATCAATGGTTTCTGATTGCTGGCCCATGTCAATCAAGTGGCATCTCAAATGAAACACAACCTCCTGATGAAAATCATTTTTCTAAGGTCTGAAAGAAGGCGAGGAAATCAGTAGGTTCCACTGAATCCCCCAAAGGCCTCGAATAAAATATTGAAGTCACTAAGCCCACACAGAACATAACACCTGAAAACATCTGCCGAGGTAGAGGGAGTTAGCGACCCTTAAGACTTACCGCTGCCGACGAGGAAAAAGCTATCGCAATTCCAGAGTCTGACAACGGCGAAGTTAAAAAGGCATATTTTGTCATAAATAAAACATAGGAGTGCAGCATTTCGGCAAACTCCCCCAACGAAAGGTCCCGAGAGAGGGACGGGGATGCTGTTTGTGAACTCATGCTTTGCACAGTAAAAGCAGGCTGTAGCGCTGCATCACCACGACTCAAACTACATTTTCACATCAAGCCCTATTCAGCGAGGACTAGTCCTCTTTAAAAATTCATTAATTTACAGCAAAAATAGATTAAAGCGCCCAACCTAAAAAGTTTGGCTTGTGAATAGCATTAATAATGGAAGCGAGCATCCAAAACCTAGAGGCCCCGGCTCAGAGGCATGGCTTTTGTTGCGCTTTATAAATGGAGAGTCATTTACATTTTTTAGAAGTATTACAGCTTTTTGATGCTTGTTTATAATTACATTGTTTTACATGCAAATTGGCTAACAATTGTTCCTCATTAAAACGTTACCAGGAGAGTGCAGCAACACTCTCAGCTTGTGTAAGACGCGGGCTTTACATCAGGTTCACAATGGAGGCTTTGCACTGAACTCTGGTTGCTGGCAGCGCGCCACCACTGAGTTCAATCCAAATGACAGCCCTTTAAAAGTGATCATCCCCCCCCCCCCCCCCTTATCTTTTACATCTTTCTCTTTCAAATCACAGCAACGCTTTCTGAACAGAATCAAAAGAGGGTTTTGACAAGATAAAAGGATTTGCTGCATCTGAATTCAAATTATGTGTACTTTACTGGGGACAAGACAAAAAAAAAAAAAATCACACTGACTAGGAGCACTCAGAGAACTTAAAGGTACTTAAAAAGGAGAGTAAGTCTGCAGTAATGCCTTGTCAAATATTTTTCTTTTTCACCTTCCCAGCCTGCAGATAGAAGAGTTTGCTATGGTACGGTATATACAGTAGGTACATCAACAACCAAGGAACAGCTGATTGGGGATGAAGGGTTTCACATCCACCCACTTGCTAATTACATCTAATATCAGGTCATTTCAATAATCACTTTGTCCAAATGATGATTTAAAGAGCTGATTATTGAAGTGACCTGAGGTAATTAAAATGACCCGTTGACCCAGTAACGCTGTAGTGGCCGGATAATTACAGAGGAAGGTCAGATGGCTTTTGAGACCTCTTCCTCGTCTCTCATAGCTGTGGCCGAGCCATCTTCCAGCATGGCAGTTCATCAACAGCAGTAGACACCAGTAGAAAAGGAAGACGCTCGCAGGCATCAATCCGTACAACTGAAGACAGTGGGTGTTAGTGTTTGCTAAAAGCATAATCGTACTTAGTAAGTCCTTAAGTAAACATATCTTCTCTCCAAGGTTAAACACAGATTCTGTATAATGGCAGCGGTATGAAAAGGTGAGCCTATAGTCTCTTTACAGGGAGCTGTGGCGCAGACAGACAAACATTTTACGCAGAGCTCGTCAAAGCCATTGAGCTGTAAAAAAAAAAAAAAAAAAGACTGAATGATACATGCTCACCTTCAATAGAATGAACTCCGAAAAACAGACACCAGGATATGCTGGGATCATATATATATATATATATATGTGTGTATAAATCATATATATCATTCTGGGCTGCCCACTATTACTAATGAATTCACACAAAAATAATACTTTACAAGTCATAATGAACATGCAGGAACACAAAGGAGCCACGATGATTCATAAACCAGCCAGTGTAACTGGGATAAAATGTACTTCATTTATTAGTTCCGAATTTTATTTAGCATATGTGAATTTTATTCATAATTAAATAATTCTGTTTAGAATCTGTGGATTTCATGTCATTGAGCAGCCTATCTTTATTTACCAACGTTTCCTGTGCTAATTAAGTTAATATTAATGGACCGTAACAACCCTCGTAGTGTTGCTTTGCATTGTGGGTAACTTGTGTGGTGCTATTTTACTGGTTTTTGTACACTAATCAAGTTGTAATCTGTAATGCCTATTGTTGACATTACGTTGCTGTTTTTAAGTGATTTCGACAGCTGTCGTTATTTTTGTAGATGCTTCTATTTAACCTCTGAAGTTCACGAAGCGCTTTTAAACTTGATTCACGTGGAGATTTTGGCGGTTATCTCGCTGTTATTTTATAAATACATGTCCAGATGTCTAGTGACTGAACTGGAGAATGAAATATGTGTTGTATTGTCTTCAAACAGGTACGTGATCTAAGGTAAGTGTTATGTTGTCGCCTATGTTAAGTGGCTTAACTCCACATGCATCTTATTACACTGGATTACATTTTCTATATTTTCAATATTATTATTATGTTATTAATGTCTTATTGAGAGACACAGTTAATGTTTTGTTCTATTGATTTAAGGAAAAGGAAAAAAAAGGATTTCCAGTTGATTTTAAAAACTCTTCGCTAATAATTTTCTAACATAGGGAACACATTGTCAAAGCTATATATGTCAAAGTAATGTACTATTGTTGTGTTAAAGACAGAAGTCCTCAAAGTGGTGCTTTGCATTGATGATCCAGATGTGCAATGACCAACCTGGAGGAAATACTGTACATGTGTGTGATATTGTCTTCTGCAGAGAATGGAATAAATGGTCTGAGTGTTGCTCGTCTATGCCAACCTAACATCCGCTACACTGGCATATGGAGTTCATCTTGATCCCAAAAGATGCAAACGCATGTAGTGTATCCACAAATAGCCCTTGATTCAAAAAAGTCACTCATACACCCGTTTTCTTAGCGTTGAATTTGCTGACATTGACGATAATAACAGCGACCTTTCCGATGATAAAACAGAAATCAGTCAAACATTATGAGGGTTCCTTCTCTTCGCGTTTCATGCGATTCTGCATAACGTTTTGATGAGGCATTTAGGGGCCTATGAGTGATCTACTGAAAAAAGTCTACAATGGCAATCAGCAGTGAGTGTGGCAGCTGTTTGGCAATTAAAAAGCCAAATTACCCTCAATCAACACCATTTACAAGCGCAAGTAAATCTCAGAGCAAATAATGATGAGAGAAATCTGTTCAGACAGCTCTCATCTTGATAGGAATTAGAGGCGCATCCAAATCAGGAAAAGTGTACTCTCTCAAGCGTTTTCTCACACACACACATACACACACACATCCCTCCCCATGTCTGTGCGTTTTTGTATAGTGTTGGCTGGCCAACGGCAGCATGATGAAAGATAATAACTCCTTTACAGTAATGGATGGTCACCGTTCATGTTAAGGTGGTGTAGTCTCTTCATGGAAAGAGACTATACCTGTCCATTTGAGGCCGCCTGTGGAAAATAAATCCATAGTAGGTGAGCATAGCTGCACCATCAACAAACTCCAATTATTATTGGTAAACGGCAAACAAAAGTGAACTGCAGGCACTGTTGAAAAGCAGGCACTCACGGGCAGCTATATGGCAAATTGCAGTATCTACTGTCTGCATCAAGTGTACCAAGATGTCTTCACTCAAAGATGTGCCATTGTCTGCTGTCTGTGTCTAATATGAAGCACCACGTCGAGTCTGTAAATAATGAATGGTGTAAATCTGACTTGGCAATTCAAGTCCTCACACTGTGTACGATCTCTGTAAAATAGTCCCCAACAAGATATGGGGAGCCACTGAAAATGACACATCCTGCAAAAAAATGTGCCGGCTGACGATGCCTACAGGGATAGTTATATATGAATGACATACTGTACATCCACACAGGAGCCTACATACAAAGGACAAATACTGTAAAAGTCTATACATTCAGAAACCAACACCTACAGTGTAGCTTACATATTTTAATCTGTAAAAACAAAGTTAGTTAGCCCATCATGAATCCCCGCAAATCAAGTGAACTGACATATTTCCCCTTCTCTTTCTACTTTTTCCCTCTCCACCTATCGAGTCAATGTGCTTTAAACTTTGCGGTGGATTCGCTACTTTAAAGATACATTTCCTCTCCATACAATTACGTTGCTGCCGGTGAGGACTCGGTGTTCTTCGAGCTTGGTCTGTTGCTCGGTCAGGCTCTAAGCTTCTTCCACCGTTATCACTTCAAAAGTGTTTTCAGCTGTGCTGTGCTCAATACGACCCCCCACTATCTGAATGCTATTGCAAACTTATAAATAAGTTGACTTTATCTGACTGACATTCGGGATAAAGACGAATGCTCCCGTGTCTTGCATGCATACAGTGACAGGCAGCGAACTTGTCATAGCCTGCCTGCTTTGAGTAAAAAGCATTAGAAGCTTTCTCGGTAAATCAATATACTGTCACAAAACCTCAACGACCGACATTCAAACAAACATTCTGCAGACTACTCACCGTCGTAGGCTGAATATGAACCGGCTCAATTGTGTGTGTGTGTGTGTGTGTGTGTGTGTGTGTGTGTACTCTGGTTCAGAAGCTCCAGACGCCTATTCCGCAATTGAAAAATCCCCCCTCGAAGACAAAAGCTCCAGCGGTGCCTGGACGCTGTCACTTGGGCTGCACGCAAGTGAGCGTCTGCGGGCGTCAAGCTGACCGCTGCCGTGGGTCATTCGACAGTCATGACGGGCGGACTCGACCCGCAATTCGCATTTGCGCTCAACAGCACGAAGATCCCGGGTCTCTGTGCTCCGCTCGGCTGCTGAACCACCGGAACTACTTCCAACGCCAGCCGGAGCACGTTGAAGATAAATTCATGCACCACAATGGAAAAAAAAAAAATGAAATCACATCCATTTAACTAGTTCCCAAATTCAGTATTAATGAGATTCTACCAGGACACACGCAGACATACCACATTTAACCCCTGGATAGCATATAAGCCATACATATAATAACTATTCATATTAACAACGTGATCATTATCACACTATTATGTTAGGTTTATGTATTTAAGTAATCACCATCATCTGATGCACTCTAATCATTATACATATTAGAAGTATGACAAATTATTAAAGCATGACTTTGCTAAAAGGGTGAAACTATTTTTATTTATTTTTTTAAACACTGTCTGTGTGATATCCAGAGTTATGGGAAACATGCATTCAATTTACATACTGCTACAAGTGCAACAAATCATTTGCTGCAAAATAGTGGCATTTAATGGCACCTATAGTAGCCTATTATACTGTTCTGTTACACAATAATCTATAGGGGGCTTGGTGATTCCTCAGCCAGGCTGCATGCCGATAATTTGTTGATTGAATGCAAGGAGAAGCTTGATGTGAAGCACAGCGCGGCCACCAGAACATTAGTCAGAGCATCTTGTTGAAGCTGAAGATTTCTGGTCAGTGATATTTGTTTGTGTGGTCTCGCACTGGCTGTGCTGTTGCAGCAGTTGTTTGGGGTTGAGCATTGTAAATTAAAATATGATTGGCCAAAATATGGATTTTTAACCCTGAAGACACATAATGATTAGCGTGAGCTTTGCCAGTCATGCAACCACAACACACAAACGTCTCTTGATGTTGCCATTGTAATGTCCTGTAAATTAGTGGCAGGTCCTGCATCTAACTATTGGATGTAAATGCAAATTTTGAGTGAAATCTGTATAAAAGTCACAGAGGTTTTTCACTCAGCATTGAATACACACTCAAGTTCTTGACTGGGATATAAACCACCAAATATACGTGCATGGAAACTCAATATGAACAACAGCTTTATGTTACAGCACGCCATGTCACTCATATATATATATACAGTATATATATATACAGTATATATAAGTATGTAAGAGAGAGGAAAGACATGACAGTGGCACAAGCCAGGTTTGAATCTATGCAAACACAGTAGGCCTCAGAAAACAATTTGCTTGGCAAGTGTACAACCCCCCCTAACACTTAGCTCCATAGATGTTTGCTGTGGAGTTAGCACACAGCTAACTCCATAATCCCACCATAACGCCTGAGAGGATGGGTGAAACAATTCACTTTAAATGAAATAATTCAGAGAGCAGAGACATAGTTGTGTGAAATTCCATTTTATGTCTCGTGTGGAGCACTTTGAACTGCCTTCTTGTTGAAAAGTGCAAAAATTAGCTTATTAAAAACGGATTAATACTGGTATGATGCTGGCAAGATGAGCAAATAAAAAATAGGGAATATTTGGCCTGACTTGCAAATAATAGCAGTTTTGCTTATTGTTATACTTCACTTGGATGTTTGACCTTTAATGTGGAGAATTGCCTATGTTCAGAGTTTAAAACAAGCATGGGTTTGTGACATTACAACTGGTTTAGAAACCACCATTGGTGGTCCAGCAAGTAACTTACACAAGTGTGGTCTGGATACTTGAACCCTCCGGGGCAAAAAAAATACATTTTGTGTCCAACAGTTGAACTTTTGAAATGAGCAATATTTGCACATTTAGATATTGTGGATTTTCAATTAGGGAGAAGGAGCAGATGCCATTTTAAATATGTTAAATAAGGTAATTTAATTTTTGGAAAAATCATATTGGACACAAATGTATATATATATATATATATATATATATATATATATATATAGTTTTGTATCTGAATGGGATCTTTAAGCTTCCTGCTAACTCCAGTGTTCATCTATGAAAACAACTAATTTCTGATCAGCATTCCTGTAATATAATTTCTTCCCCTATCTTTTAACACCACTACATTTAGTCAGACCAATTACGTGCTTTTGTCTGCGAGCTTGGTCACCTGGCTCCAGTCCCACTTCATCAGCTCAGAAACAGCTCAGCGCTGCACTCGTCTGGATGTTGGAGGTGCTTGCAATTGCAAATATTTGTTCCAGGATTTGAGGATTTTCAAAGCAGCAATAAACAGTGCTACATTTTTTTTTAGGATGACAGAGATTGTAAAACTGTAAAGATAAAAATCCATGTATGTTCATGAATTTTCTCTTATTTTTTTCTTTGAAAGATGAATAAAATTAAAACATAGGAATAAACAATCTTGGAATTTATTCTGGGCCAGCTCTTGTATTTTGTGAGTCCACCACCAGAGGACTCCCCAGGTTAAAATAAACGTGTTGCCATAGTTAGACAGACCTATTGAAGGTTGTTTTGTTTTTTAAATGTGCACTTATCTGTGTTTTGTATTATTTTAATAAAATGTACTTAAACACTGTAAACTGTGAAGAGACACGTGAAAAAACTAATTTTTCGTATTTTTAAGTCATTAAATAAGTGTCACCTGTCTGCTCCTTACAAAATGCAACCAGGCTTTACCTGTCATGACAAAATGTGAAAAGCTATTTAGCTGAATCTTCTGTGTTGATTCCATCCAAACATGGTGAGCTTATACTCTGCAAATTAAGTGACACTGAATGATGATTCAAACAGAATATACTATTACTAGTACAGTCATGTGTGGGTCAAGTATGCAGTGTATTTTGCCACGATACATATAAAACATAGGCTGTTTCAGGACAACCACAGTGAATTTTGGCACAGAATTTAAGATTTAAGTTTATGTTGTAAACATGATAGGATAGGAGGTTGGCTTCAGAGCAGAAAGCCTGTCTGTTGTTGACTGCGTGACGTTGATCTAAAGTAACAATAATGTCAGGAAGTAAAGTGACATTTTTTTTATCAACCTGACAAAATTACGTTCTTGTGGGAAGAAAAGAAAAGGCAACACTGTAGCTTCTTTACATTCTATTAGAATGTAAAGAAGCTACATTGTATAGAATGATTCTATTGAAGTTATTCCTTTTTTAAATGTTTTAGACGAGTCACTAATCACTTTAAAATAGTGATTATAGCTGATTTAACTTACAGACATGAGATTGATCTTCTCATGTCACTCTCTTTATACAATAATATAAATTCATCCCCGTTTTATTGATATCTTACGAAATATTACTCCTCACTTTTCGTGCGTTTTTCCTGCAAAGGTCCAGCAACATGAGTCTGTTTTCGCTTGTTACATGCATACTGTCTTTTCAAAATAAACTTCCATCTTCACAGGAAACAACTAAGGTTTAGGCCAGGCATGTCCAAAGTCCGGTCACACATGAATGCTTACATTTGGTTACATTGCTATTTGCTGTCATTGAAAATAAAATGATTAAATAACAATGTATGTATAGGCTACTTGTATTGTTTAAAATAATGTCAGCAATAATGTGACTGTTGGCTATTATTTTTCACATTATTTTCACATTATTTTTCACATTGTCAAATCTGGCCCTCTTTGAAAAAAGTTTGGACACCCCTGATCTAGAGGCATGTGTCTACCTTGATGCCTTACCCTTATGTTGTGACAATTAGGCAGCACGACTGGATCTGCCCGGTTTGATCCTGCTGAATTTCAGACGTTGCAGTGTGTGGAGGCAAGGGATGCCCGAGATATCACCCACACACACATGCACGCACGCGCGCGCGCGCGCGCACACACATCACAACCGGATATGCAACTTCTCAGGGCCGGAATTGGGTGCAACACGCCATCAACGCAAACATTTCAATCTCTAGGTTTCGGGCTTTCCATGTCCTCTGAATGAGTAAACATCTCAAGATGACAGATTAATGAGTTGAGTCCAGTCACATCATTTCATCATTTTGTGTCATATTTGATGACAGCAGAGCAGAGCATGACCCAGCCTCGCGAGAATACGCCTAGCTCACCATGAGAAAGAGGAGAGTGTTGGGCATGCGCACAGTTGCATCTGCCGAAACAATTATCCTAAACGATGGGAAACAAAAAAAAGTTTGTTCGGGTGAGTTCGCTTCAATAATTAGCTTTTATGCTGACGTGTATGTTCTGTAACATGTCTGTTGACGCTTCCTAACAGGGTCACCATGAGGATCATTTGGAGCCGACTGAAGCAAAGAGCGTCAGATGGATTCAATTAAAATGTGATGGTTTCAAATTGTTATAGGCAGCTGCATGCCTACTTTTGACGATCATATTTTTCTTTTATTCTAATAAATATTCCTTGGGCATGTCAGTATCGTCTCTTTGTTCTGTTAAATTGAATAGATTACTTGTACGCCTTATTTAGTTAGAAAACACAAACAAGTCATTGTCTATGTGTATATGGGTTTATATATATCTATCTATATATATATATATATATATATATATATATATATATATATATATATATATATACGTATATATGGAGGTTTTGTCTGTATTCAACACTATATACATACAAAAGTACCAATTAGTTGAAACCCAATATATTGGCTTACAACACCATTGTAATGAGCTATTACCTTCCATGTTTGCAATATGTACAGACATCACTGTCAAACATCAGACTCGGATTACTTTAAAGAAAACTGAAAGACCTGATTCGTGGACATTATTCGTGATGGACATCGGAGATGATATCCTCTGAAAGTCCCACTGAATCTAAAAACATGTGTATCATGTCTGCGTGTTCACATTTGACAGGAGTTACCCCCCCCCCACCCACCCACAGCAATGTTAGTCTCTGGCATAGGGACAGAGGGAGGAAGTGGGTCACTCGCATTATTTCGCACCATTATCCCATGGGAGTGTTTTCCTTCCACTCAGCGGACTCAGTGGTCCCTGGACAGCACTGCTAGACACCAGGACTGTCACACTACTGCGTAATGGCAGCGTAAACGCCTCTGAATCTCTGGGATTATGAAGCAGAACTGAGGGAAACAAAAGGAAGATATAGTGGCTTCGGTTTGTCATGACCTTGTTTCATTTCCTGCCACTTCGGCATGGAGACAGCGCCGTCGGTATTCGCCAAAACCTCCTCGCAACGTCTGGTCTGAACCGGTTCGGGGATGTGCGCAGTCTCGTGTGCACTGCAGACTCCACGCACTGATTTCACGCAGCACTCCGCGCCCTCCTCGGGCCCCGCCCTCATTGGTTAGGACGCTCGCGTCCCGCCCACATCTCTCCGCGTGCTGTGTGGACAATGGGGAAGTTTCCGATTTGCGATTGGTTCACGCCACTCCAAAACTTTTATTTTGGGGCAGGCCCCGTATGTTGTTGTGCACGGGCACGCACAGAAGTGGAGTTGTAAACGAAGCTCGTGCACGTTTCAGCACCAAAACTCGTGGACAGCAGAAGGAGAGAGGGTGGTCGTTGTGGGCTAGCTTATTGTACTAAACCGACGAGTCTGCGGTTTGCATTACCATACCGCTGCGATCGCGGGAAAACTTCATTGGTAGTTTTGAGTCGTAAAGTGGACACTATACAGCGGCACGGCTTTGGCTTTGTTCGCCCCGGCGGGCAAGTTGCGCCGAGAGCCGGATAACGGTGGAAAAGGGACACGTTTCTGCCGGTAAACATACCGTTATCTTCGGCTCACTCGTGTCGAATTTTGCACGGTCTGGGGGTTCAACTAGCTGCACCACGGGGAGACTAAATGGCTGCAAATAAAGGCAATCGAAGGTGATACAGAAGACTGTTGGTCCTAGCCGGTTGGGTCCAGACAACGAGCCGTGGTCCTGTTTTTAGCCACATCACAACCTGCTCGTGCTGCTAGCCGCCGAGCTCTCCATTGTGTGAGCCCCCGGATCACCACACACACACACCTGCCGCCTCGCACAGCTACAACTGTGTGTGTGTGTCTTTTTTTGTGCCGGATATATATATATATTTTTTACTTTAATCCACGCATCCAGAATGTGCTCTCGGGTTTGGTTCGTGACCGACCGCCGTATCAGCCAGGAATACCCTCAGGTTCAGATCCTCCGGGCGCTGAAGGAGCGCTGCGCCGACGAGGACGTTGAGTTCCGCTCGCTTCTCATGGACCAGATCGTGCTAACGATCAGCGAGGGACAATTAGGCAAGTATCACACAATCAAACCAAAGCAGCCGGTGCGTCTTGGCGTGGGCTGTGTCAATGGCTGGGTGCAGTGGAGCTGATGGTTTCGGATCAGCGGTGATCTTACGTGGTCCCACAAAGTTTTAGTGGCAGGCGGGTATTGTTTGGGGACCACACTGCTGTGAGGAAGGGCTAGCCCGGTCTGCCTGCTAGCAAGGAAACGAAGTGTAACCACAGACGTGACCGCCTAACCCACTTTCCAGCGAGAGTGCCTCCAGAGGGGAGCGAGGATGCTTGATTTGATTACGCTGAATACGTTACAATCCCTGCAATGCCGTCGATCATACGATTTACTTAATATCACAAAGGCAACAGGGTTTTTTTTTCGTTACTATCACAGAGGACTTGTAATTAAAACAATGTGCTATATGCTCTCATGTGCTGGCACCACAGCCCACAGGAGGCACACGCGCATGCTAACATGCTTCACATACAAAGGGGCGTATGTGGACTAGTGGTGTTTGAGTGATCAATTCAAATATTGACTCTGTAAAATGTGAGAGGTAACGATGTTATGTACACCAGATCCAACCAGCAACTACATTGATATCTTTAAATTGAGTCCAAATAAGTATACAGGTTAAAGGAGGGAAAACATGGAGCAAATCTTGCGTTAATGGAGCCATAACCCGGACTTGTTTATTGATGTGACTGGATAAATTGCTAAATTGGGACATTGATTTTCAAAACTCTCTTATTCAATTAGTCGACTAATCTTTCGAATGACTTAATGCAGAGAAACCTACGCACATAACTTTGGTAAACACAAGATTTTATGAGGTTTATTTTGCATTGATTACTTGTGGAGAAACTCAGTTTTACAGATCTATCGATTAAATCCTAATTACTACTAATTGATTTGGTCGAGGGCAGCCCGATGTATCAGCTTCATCTCTCAGGTTTTCTGTATATTTTTACCACACTACCCACATTATGTCACAATGACAGATCTTATGTACGTTTTGTTATTGCTTGGTCCAGAACACATTGTTTGAGTTCAGCTTGTTATGAGATGGCAACACTTTCTCACTATTTACCCAGGAGGCCCCGAGCAAGACATGGTAACAGTAGGAACTCTCGACAAACAGACACACATGGAATTCATCGGGGCGGTGTGAAGTGGGGCTGGTGTCACCAGATGAGAGGCGTGCGGGTCTCAATTAACACATAAACGGTGTAGGCTGGCACTCTGGCAGATGCTGAATAGTTTGGAGACCATGTGGGATGAATCGGGGTGAGATTGAGCGAGCACGTCCCTCGCAGGCAACATACCGGTGATACTGTTACATCAGCTCTACTGTACGGATCAGTCACGGCAAAGCTTTTCAACTCAACGCGGGGAGTATTAAAGCGGAAGGCATGACATTTAAGAAATCGCATGTCTTTGTAACACCTTAGTTCAGCCAAAGGAACATTTGTGAACATAAGGAAATCCTGGAAACGGCTAGTTGTACAGAGAATATCACATAAAAATATCACATTATGACGCCGTTTCTGCTACCATGTCAAGATCTTATCTAAAGAATATGCTTATCATCAGAACATGCAAAAATATATCAAGGAAAATACTGAACTTGAGACCATATTAGCCAACACGGGGAGGTAGGTATAGGTGGCTGACTAGACCGGTGGCTTAGCAAGATACACACAACTGGAGCAGGGCAGTTAGCATGAGCTGTAATACAGCCTGGCCCCAAGTCTGCGTACGTCTTCTGAGCCTTGGCTTAACATCACAGATTAACATCCAGTGGACAGATTAGCCACGCTGTGGGCTTGCCACGCTGTGGGCTTGCCACACATACTCTGTGGAGGCATGCTGGCCCTTTACACCGAGCATTACGTGCAGCTTTTTTTTATCTACGTTTGAATCAATCCCCCGTTACATTTAGACATAGACGACAGTAACTCTGGAGCTGGAAGATACTTTCCAGTAGAAACTGCAGCTTGACCACATCGTCTTTACCGAGATAACGTTGCCAGCCTCTTGTAACATGCATATCCTTTAAGATTGTCTCAATCGCTGTGTGGATTAGCAATACAGCATCAGCATACTGTACAACATCAGTGAGAGTATGCTATCCTTACTGTTTCTAACACAAGTGGTATGTCACCATCATGTGATCAATAAGGCCCTTTTGGTCACTGACCAAAGACTTATTCTCCACTTCATACGGTCTTGAGTGCATTTATATTTGAATAAAAACCAAAACAAACAATGTTTAGGTTAAGTAAAATTAAATGTTTTTTTACTGAGATGACTACGTGGTATTTCAAAGTAAAAATGATGGGAAACAGACTCTGATGCTGGAGCTGGTTCAAAGATGAGCTTTACGCTAGTAGTAGATGCTACATTAACAACTTGACCTAAAAACACTTCCTGGACACAAAGTATTTGTTAGGGTGGGTCACAATGCAAACACCTGTATGGCCTGTTCAGGTTGAGGTCCCAGGTTCAACGTGGCCCCAGGAGGAGAGATAAGTCCACATACTGTAGCGAGCCAAACCAGTATTCAGCTAGCTAGAGGCATTTTGACATTTTATGGTTTGTGCTGCTTGAAGATGTTGAAACAGAGATATTTTACGACCCTTTGGAGTCCTCACGCACATGTCCGACAATCGAAGGAGAATAGTTTGATCCTTAAATAACCTGCATTATCTCATCTGCAAGTTCTCTCATGCAGTCAGGAACATTTACATGCTATTGGTATTGCCAAAGAGGCTCATAATAGCTTTGTTAAAAGCAACAAAAAAGAGAATAATATGATAATATCAAATCATTTATGTGACAGCAACATTGACTGACACTCGAACTGATGCTGACTGATGTTGCATCGCTGTAAAAACTCACTGTGTTGGGAGGAAGCTGCAGGTTACCACAAACCCACAAATATTAAGGAAAGAATAATGTTTCTCCTCCATTTTCTTCCCTGATTTTCCTGTCATACCACGTAAGCAGCTCAGCGCACAAGCTGACAACAGCCCCCACACTAAAGTTGTTCAGTATTACCCGTCGCTCTGGCAGGTAATGACACATTAAAATAGCAGTGGTGGATTTGTTTTTTTTGTTTCTTCCAGCCACATGTGGCTGGTGGATAAAAAATATGTCCTACACAGCATTATGTCAAAAATATAAAAATAGCCATTGAGTAAGGTTTGGCAAGACTGTGTACAGACTCACTCTGCCACCATACCAAAGTACTTTCTCCTCCATTCTCTCCCACAAACCTTATAATGACATGTTGCATTACTCATTAATAACAATTGACTTCATTGTATACATATAGTATATGAATATATATATGACTAATGCATATTAAAGTATTAATTAAAGTATTAGTGTGCAAGAACTGTAGTACTTGCACACCACATTGAACTGCATGCTTCTGTGAAGTGTGATGTCAAAGACAACTGGCATCTTCAAAAAACAATCTTCATAAACACGTTTCATTCCTTTCAGAACTTCATCAGTTTAAATCAGCCAAAAGAAGTCAGAATGTGCAGAACATGACTCTACTTCTCACCTGATGTATAACCTCAGACATCGTCTGAGTTCATGATCTCAATCCCTCGTCTTCTTTAACACAGCATGATGATCGTTTAGTAAATGATGGTCCCATTAAAAGTAAAATAAACAACATGCTTTAGGGCGTGGCTACCTTGTGATTGACAGGCCGCTTCCACGGCCCGTCTGGGAGTTGTCCTTTTATTATAGTCACAACTTTCACGGTGTGTTTTCAGTTCATGAAAGTTACCTTGCAACCTTTTGGTCGCCTGAAAAAATGTCTTATTCAGTGTTCGGTTTTACTTGATCTCACAGTATAGGCCTATAGTATATGTTTTTTTTGTGTGATGTTAATTACTGATGACACATATGAAAATTGTCCATTGAAGGCATTGTTAGCCCAGAGGAAACTGTAGATAAACCTGCTGCCCCATCATGCTAATTGAGACAGAATACCCAGACCCAGACCGGACCCGCCGGCCTCGCGTTGGCACATCATTTGTCAGCATGGCCTGCTTTGTGACGTTGCAGCGGTATGCACAGAATGCTTGTAATGCTTGTTAGCTTTGTCGGGCAGATTGAAAATGGGGACACACACATATATACAGTCCGTTGAACCATAAAAACATCACGCGCTGTCATAGAGGACAGAAGAAATCCCATCCGCTGTCACTCTGAACACATCACGTCCACACTAAATGTAGACACACAAAAAAAAACCTGCACGTTGCCTTTGTTGTACACCAAAATGGTCAGGAGGGGTTTCTGAATGTTTTTTGCAAATGGTCACATGACGTAGAGTACAGTGCACACGAACACTTGCACACATGAATAGCACTGATTCATCCGGCTGCCTCGTTGGTCTCTCTTTGGTTCCCCTGGAGATGGAGACGAGCACCATGAACAGAGAATACTGTCTGTCAAAAAAGCATGCGACTGCGTCCCCTGACACTTCCCACTGTAATGCCATTCTCAGAGCTCTCGCAGTGCTCTCAGTAGCTGCACAATCAGAGCAGTGTGGCCGGAGAGACAGTAAATCCTCCTGCTTCTAAACTGAGATTGTGAGGAGGAGGAGGAGAAAAAGGGAGGGGCGGCAGTCTTTTCATGGCTTCATACTGCTTTCTTATGCCCCTCCCCTCCCTCCCTCCCTCCCTCCCTTCCTCTGTGTTAAGGCTACAAGACATCCCTGACCTTTTCTGCCTGCCACCTCGTCCCTTGTTCCCTCCTCTACCTGTCTCTGCATAGAGAAGAAGAAGAACGAGTGCCGGCTGGGCCCCGCCCATAGTGCGCGCACCATACACACACTATATGCGAGCTCGAGGCGCAGCGCGCATCTGCCGGCACATCGGCGGCTGTCTGTTCTTATTACGTATGCAGCAACCATCAAGCTTCTGGTGACCCCTGATGATCTCAGCCAGTGGCGCTGTCTCTGTTGTGAGCCTGCAGATTCTAAGATGGCTGAAATTCAGGTCATGGTTAGAGATTAAGTGCTGTGCTAGTGACAAATGTGTCTCCTCCCTTTTATCCCGTACACACACATATATATATATATATGTGCATACCCACACGAACACACAGGTTTGGTTGTCACCCAATCTGTTCTTCCCGATGAGCCGTTGGGTGGCATCGCCTGCTCAAGAATCTAACAGTCTGTCTCTGTTTCCTCCTCTCTACTGGGATGACAAAGTAACACCAGTCACCAGTGAAATGCTGCCAAATCTCTGGCTTTGGCCGGTGAATTTGCCATCTGTGTTTGGCAAATATCAAGCCAATATTCCATCAAAACTGTATTCTGTTCTGCAGATCCAGATAGATGTTGATAGAGGCTGGAGAGATGGCGAGTAGGGAAGTTAGTGTGACGCCGCGTGTTCAGTTAGCCCTTTGTATTTACTAAGCTTACACTAGTATTATATATATATATATATATATATATATATATATATATATTAAGTGATGTCTGAAATTGGTTTTTAATGTCTCAGTCTGTCAACACAACACCTTGAATTTCAGACACAGCCACTAAAGACTATTATTTTGCTTTGATCATAAAAATTGATGACCAAACACAATATAGTGTTTCCAACCACGCCTTTCTCCAGATGTGTGCTCATGTGTGATGACATTCGAGACCCTTGGGGTTTCAGACATCTCTGGCTACCCCACTGCCCTACATTTACACAAGGTAGCGTATCGTGTTAGTTAGCACATCAGCGAGGCCAAAAGGCAGAGGAGAGCTGGCAGCGCTGCAGGGGAGTACTGTTTATGGATATGGGCAGCATGTAAATAATCGTATCAGCTAGCGAGGAACCCTTCCAAATTCATGACTTAACACCACCAGCCTGGGAGCTGGCTGCCTCTGCCCGGTGCTGTAACCCGGCCAACTCTCAGTCTGAGCTGTGCGGGGACGACTGCAGCAATGTCCACAAAGAGTCTTCACAAGAAGAGTTTACTTCATTAGGAGATGGTGGATTACCCCCTTCCCAATATTTCCAGCTCTTGTAAATATGACTTTGGGGGATGTAACGGTAGATGTAAACAATGACACGTTGCTTTTCTCACCTGGCAAGTACAGAAGACAAGCGAGGCGTTGGCTGATGGCTCTGGATAAGAGTACGGTCTCGCTATAGTGGCTCACAATTGTATTGCGTGCTCTGAAGAACTTACTATATGTAAGAGGGGTTTGGATACTTGTTTAATGATGGCCTTCTTGTTTCCACCACCTCCTTCCTCCCCCACCCCGACCGTCTCAACCTCCAGGTCTGCGAGTGGAGCAAGAACTGGTGACATCTTATCCACAGGTGGTGGTGGTACGGGTGCCCACGCCCTGGGTGCAGTCAGATAGCGACATCACCGTGCTGCGCCACCTGGAGAAGATGGGCTGCCGGCTGATCAACCGTCCCCAGGCCATACTCAACTGTGTCAACAAGTTCTGGACCTTTCAGGAGCTGGCGGGCCACGGCGTGCCTCTGCCTGACACCTTCTCATACGGTAAATCAATACTTGGAGTTTATCCTTTTTTTCACAGTGTTGGTGTGTTGTGGTGGCGGCACGGCGCTGTCGCAACTAAGGCGTCAGTCCACAAGTCAGTGGAGGAAAAATGTGATTGCAACTGGCTTCATTAATACTTCCCAGTGTGTGGACAACAAGTAGTCCACGCTGCATTGTACCGTTATAAATGGCTCTAGGGGTCCAGTGCAGACGACGGAACGCAGACTGTAATTCCCTCAGCGCAGCGCACAGACGAATAAACACAGAAACCTCTGGCTCCAATAGACGTCTCCGTCACAGCACCTGCTGAACCGAAGATCTAGTCAAGCTTGCTTCAAAGCCTCAGCTCTTTCATACATCAGTCATCAATTATTTATGAAATGATGTCCCACGTGATTGTGTCTCAAAAAAATATGGACAGCCCTTGCTGCTGATGTCAATGATAAGGCTGTGTTTTAGTCAAATTAAGTGATTGTTATATATTATGTTATGATATATGTAAATAGTGTCTGCAAGTATGTATAACAAATTATAGGGGAATATAACTGCATCATCTACAGTGAAATGACTATTAGCATGAACGCCATCACTGCTGTGTCAAGTATGTTGTTTTTTTGACATTTCAATCACATTAGTCGCATCACGGGCTTCAGGCCATGTGTCCGTATAACAGTTTAATATGCCATTCGTCAGACAATCACTGCACCACTGCAATTACTCAAAGAAAAACTCCATTTACATACCGAGTCACATCCTCTGTCCACTAAACCACGTGTATGTAAAGTTACCACTGTTGATATGTGGGAGTGCGGCCCTCACGAGCAGAAGCCGGGCTGCTGTTTTTATTGGTTGTAGTTTGCTGATTTTGTAAGACAAAAACCGACAGTGGTGTGGTGTTTGTGAGAGGAGACAGAGAAGGAAACACACAGAGAAGGAAAGAAAGAGATGGGGGGGGTGTTTGGCCTACATTCCATCCGTCTCCCTGCACAGTAGGCCGGGCGATGCATGCAGAGCGGCTGGAGAGCTTATGTAACACCCCCTCAACGCCCCACCCCATGCCCCCCCTCATGATTTTTCAAAATAAAAGATGCCATTGCTCTCCCTCCTGCTCTCCACCTCAGCAGCTTATGACGTGGATGGACCCACATTTGCTGCCCACTCTCTCCTCCTCCGCTCCCTCTGTTCTTTCTCCCTCTCACTGAAAACATCATGTGAATCTGGAAAAAACTAAAAAAAACATGCGACGGGGTAGTTCACTTGAGCAAATGCCAGATAAGACCAGACAGACAAACAAAGAGAGAGAGACAGTAGTGGAGATGGAGAGGAAAAAGAAGAAGTTACACCTCGCTTTTTTTTTTTCAATATTTCCAATCGCTTCTCAAGCCGAAGCACATCTGTTGCTGCACGAGCTGCCACTCTGACTCAAAGTCAGATATGGTCAGCCGCTTCACATTAACGCATCCCTCAGTGACTGCTCTGTTCCAATCTCATGAATCAAGCAAGCAGCAAAAAGCGATTACAAGCTCAGGACAACACTCCTACAGCCTCGCTGTTTTTTGAGTCACTTCTGTTGCCATGGTGACGTGCTACACCCCCCCCCCCCCACACAAACCCTGTTCAGCCCGCTGTAATGTGTGAACCATGCTATCAAAACAAAGGAGGTTTTTTTTTTTTACAAAAACGATATATTTTGACACCACTATGTGGGTGCATGTTTCTGGGTGTGTGTCTGCTGCGTGTTTGTGTGCATGGCGTATCCCAGGAGGGCATGACAACTTCCGTAAGATGATTGACGAGGCAGAGCCGCTGGGCTACCCTGTGGTGGTGAAGAATGCACGTGGCCACAGAGGTAAGACCATCAAGTCTATTTCTTCCTGTCACCAGCTCTATTCACCACACCACACCTTAAACAAAAGAAAAACAAAAGAAATCTGTTTTCGCTGCAGGCCCCCGGCGGCAGCTCAGTCCACCCCGACATGAAATTAGTTGACAGAGTGTTAAATGATTAGAACTCCGGTGCTGCAACAACCAGCGCGACAGAGAGCTTGCAGGATGGCTGCTAGGTTAATCATGTCTGTTTCTAGTAAATTGACCCCGGTTTCCACTCATTTTGCATGAATTCACAGTGGGGCTTGTGTGGGAAATTTGAGCCTTGCCATTGATGTCGGAGATGAGCCCCAGTGTCTGCTGACCCATTGGGATTTTCCTATTCATAGTAATTGACACATGAAGGCCTCGCCGAGGAATAACAATGCACCGTGGCTCGCCCAGGCTGCCGCCATAACGCATTGTTAGGGAAAGCAGCCGTTGGTCAACCACTAACTTGACCCTTTTTTATGGAGTTCTGCATCTCAAGGCTTGCTTTCCTCCCCTCTGTGTTTGACCATTGTCATTGGCTTAGGTCCAGCGTTCCTTTCTTCTGTTGAGCAAATATAAAGGCCTGCAAACAATTACAAAAGGTCTCTTTCAAAATCGTTTGTATTATCAGGCCAATACTAGAGCCCACATGTCATGTAATTTTCCTGGCCAATTGTTGGGATGTGAAATACTGTAATTCAAAACTAAGTGAATGCCTTCGTGTGCCCAATGTTTTAGTGCACATCAGTACAAAGTAGTCATGTGTCTCAGTGAGTCACAGGACCATGATTCCCTGCTTGTCTTGTTTTTGTAAAGTGTGCCTGCCACTGTCCGTCCTCACGTCTTCATGATGTTACCAGGGGATTGCCTTGTCATCTCCTTTGGATTGTCACCTACTCACAATGTACACATAGCACACGCAACATTTTCCCTGGTGCTGGATCAGGGCTTGACAACCGGGAGACGGAGCCGAGTGGAACTAATTAAAACAGGCGTTTTCTATCCTCTGTGAGAAGCAATTCTGTGGCTGCCAAGAGGAGCGTCCCATCTATTATAGGGGACACGGGAACTGGCATGAGACTTGGTCAGCAGAAGCAGCTACTTGTCAGCAAGACTTTGAGGAAGTTACCCAACCTCAGCTAATATCGCGCAAATGTCAGACCCCGCACGCATCTTATCTTCATGTTCACATAAAACCTGTCTACTTTATCGTCACAGCCTGAAAACTAGCTCATCTTTCCTTTTGTTCCTTAATCTTATCTCTCCTCCTTTTCCCCTCAGGCAAGGCTGTTTTCCTGGCACGGGACAAACACCACCTGACAGACCTGTGCCACTTGATCCGGCACGACACCCCCTACTTGTTTCAAGAGTACATCAAGGAGTCGCACGGCCGCGATGTCCGGGTGGTCCTGGTGGGCGGCCGTGTCATCGGCTCGATGCTACGCTGCTCCACCGATGGTCGCATGCAGAGCAACTGCTCCCTGGGTAGGCAGACGATGACACACTGAATTACTCAACTATTGAGCACTGTCACACACACATTACATTATTGAACTCGCTGCCCCTTCCCCTCATTTACCATCACTGTCGCCACCAAAGCCAGCACTGTCGAACTGGAACGGATCCTAATCTTGGAAAACGATTTGATTTTATTGACTTTGATGTAATAATCCTTTGGATCTTATGGGATCTGTGTTTTTCAGACGTATAAAAGTAATAGACAGGCATTTGTTCTAATCATTTGTGTATATGAGGACAATATTTAACGATCATATCAGTGTCAAATCAACGGGCTCATCCTGAAACTGCCCCGGAGACATGAAGTGACACAGCATTCCAGCTGATGACACTGCTTTTTTCAATGACAGAGCATGGACAGGTTTGGTCTAGTGGATGCTGGAATGTGCAGTGACATATTTAGGACACCAGCCATCAGATTATTCTGCATTTATGAGACAGATCATGTTGACACTGACTGTAGGTGGATCTGATGTGGTGTTTCCTATATCATCCCCATATACTGTATTAATACTGTTTTAATATTGCTCTTGTATTAATCAGTTGGATGTCTCTCTCTGGATCGTTAGGCGGCGTGGGTATGATGTGCCCGCTGAGCGAGCAGGGAAAGCAGCTGGCCATCGAGGTGTCTAACATCCTCGGCATGGATGTGTGCGGCATCGACCTGCTGCAGCTCAACGACGGCTCCTTTGTGGTCTGCGAGGCCAACGCCAACGTGGGCTTCATCGCCTTCGACCAGGCCTGCGGCATGGACGTGGCGGGCATTGTCGCCGACTACGCCCTGTCGATGCTCCCCAGCCGCCTCACCCGTAAGATGTCCCTGCTGTCCGTCGTGTCGAGCACCAGCGAGACCAGCAGCGAGCCGGAGGTGTGCCCCGTGCCCACCGGCGGCGGCTCGCTGCCCGAGGCCGTCTGCAACATGAGCGTGGGTTCTACTTCCAGCGAAAGTGACCCAGAGCTGGCTGAGCCCTCCCAGTCCTCGCCCCGCCAGTCCACAGCCCCCGCCCTCCCCGATCTCCCCGATCCAGCCTACAACTTCAACACTCTTCTCGCCAATGAAATGAAATTATTGACTGAGTAAGATTCAAGCAGCTTCATGCACACACACACACAAACACCACAAATACATATTAACAACACGCAGACACACACCTGTACGCATGCCAACAGACATTTCTTTTTTAAAACACATGTCAATCCAAAAACTATGAAAACATAGAATGTTAAATGCAAAACAAGAGCAGAGAAAGAAAAAAAAAAAAAAGTCCACACACATACAGACACAAACCACAGAAAGACAAAACATGAGCCTTCTCCTACTAACTCCTGTCAAAAGTAACAAAGATCTGAGGCTGCTCCCCTGACTCTCCTCACTTTGCACCTCTACTCCCAAACGGCAAACCCCACTTTCCAAACTTAGCTCACACTCAAGCAGGGTGGCGGCACGGTGGTGGGATATAGTACATAAGATGACTGCCAAATTGGCCTCTCCTAGTTTCTATTTTGCAAAATAGCAAGGGTGAAGGTAACTATGTTTTTTTTGTATTGGGTGTGGGATTCCCATAAAAGGCACATGCCATATTTTTATCCTTACTTTACTCTATTATTTAAAGGCAAATCTACAGTATGTTGTCATAAAAAAAGGGGGTTTCCTGCAGGGACTGGTTTGGTGGATTGGAGGCAAAATGAAGTCACTTTTTTCAAGTGATTAGCTCCTTGGGAGAGGAATACATCCTCGTGCTCGGCACATTATACTGTTCCAATGTAGCAATGCCGTGCTCTTTTCAAGGACACAGAACAGGAAGGGGACCGTCCTACAGCAGCTGGATTTCATGTCACATTTACTTCTTACTCATAAATAACTGAAATGAGACTTGAATTCACTACATATGTCATATGTTGTAAATCCAACTACAACAGAATGTATACACGTTTTACGGCTCTGATAACTAAAATCCCAATTTTTGAATCGCTAATGTAGCCAGAGCTTCTACCTTCCCCGTTAACAAGAGGCCGACGTTGTGCTTGTCAGAATGATTTCCCTTTCATGCGTCAACAGGAATATTATCAACCCAGACCACAACCCCCACAGCACCAGAGAGTCCTCCTGGGTGCTAACACGGTGTCCATTCACTGCCAGTGAAGCAGGCTCATATAAATGTCAGCAAAGCTGCACTAACCTGAGCGAGGTGGGAGCAACAACAAATAGCTGTTCTGTTTCAGAGTCACATCCCGGACAATAAAGAAAAATGAATTGAGTGCCATGACTCGAATCCTAGCTTTTAATTCCGTAGCTAGCTTGTTTGATTAGCCTTACCAGCAGCAGTCTGCGGCTTTTTAAAATTCATTTCAATAGCACTTTATGATAAACCGATGCTTTTTTCTTTTGTGTTGCTCAGATGACATATTTAGGAAACACAATACAGTGTGAAAGCTGCGTCCACACATGCGAACAAAATATACCTCAAAACAGTGACTTTTCACTGCCATGATGACATAGTTATTCAGACATACAGTACATATCAGACAGGATCCTTGTGGTTTTCAAGTGGCCCCTGATACACCAGGTGTTCCTTCTCTTTATGTCCAAGAGCTAAAACGGTGGTAGTGTTATTTTAGCTTTTTTTTTTTTGTACATATTTAGTGAATTAGCTTCATACTAGTGTCCGGCGGATGAAACTGGAATGGCCGACATAACTGTCAACATTGAAATCTTCTTCAGCTAACGTGGACAAACTTGTTCGTACAGACCTGTAATACTGAAAAGGTTGAAACTGAAAATTGGTGCTAACATTTCTGGATTTGGTCAGATGTGTTTTCAGTCATATGATTTGTAGATTTTACTTTTGTTGTTTTCACCTTATTTTTTGATAACAATGGAGTACCTAACACACAAATCTGTTGGCATGATGTACAAATAAAAAAAATGGGAACTATATTTTTTGCAGTCTCTTTGATTAGAATCCAGGGATTTCAGTGGCCAAGAGCTTCTCGCGTATGGTTTTTGTTCCAGTTGATTCGCCTCCCTTGTACACCTTCAGAGATAGCTATCAACATAGAGGTCGGGTATTCTGGTGTATGTGTCATTCAGTGAGAATAATACTTTACAGCTCTGATCAAAAGCACAAATTCTCCAGTGCCACGCAGTGACGTCCATGTTTTTAAACCCTTTCTGTTGAACACTACTCAGGGAAGCAGCCTGGATCTCACCCCCTGACCCCCAAAAGCACGACATATCCATTGGATCTCGAGAGAAAAAAACATTACACTTACCTACAGGCAGACAAAAAGATACACAAACAGTGAAAAAAAGGTTGTAAACTACAGTATGAGACAATGAGGTATATACCATGGTTAACATTCACTTTTTTTCCTTGCTTGTTTTATATTGTTCCTTGTTTTCTTCCTAATTTATAGTATTTTTAAAGAAAAGAAAAGTGGTTTTTGTGCACTAATATTGTCTCAATAAAGTGAAACCGCTGTGAAGCTTGATTTTACTTTCCTTTTTCTTGTGGGCCAAATTTACTAACCGCCTGGAATCTAACAGGGGCCCGAGGGTGCCAAAATCTGAACACGAAACAACAGGGAATGCAGCTTTTATTTTAAGTCTGCCTGTCAAGTGCTCACAGTGGCTCCACTGAGAAGATGACACCATTTACACGCCTGTGACGCCCCGTTTCTACATAATGAAAGTATCTGACAAACAAACTGTGAAATCCTGTGATGTCCACTCTCCCGACACGCAAGGGCTGGTGGCCTTGATCATCAACAAGTCACATCCCGACATAGAAGCTCGTATGAGCGAACTATCTCCAGATGTGGTTGTCCCCTCTTTTTTTTTTTTTAAAGTCTTTGTCTTTTTATTGATGCTTGTGTCCTTCAACATTGTGTACGTAAATGTAGATCAAAGATCACATATCCTTCACATTTGACAAGCCAGCCATAGGAAAGAGTGAAATGTTTCGTATCATTCCTACAGCCCTGTTATTTCAATCTGTAGTTTACACGGCATCCGTATGCACACAGAGCACATCTAGCCGTTTCGGGTTAGCACTGTGCCCCGACAACTTTCACAATGCCTTTTCATTGTCTGGTTCCCTCTGGGAGCAATGGTTTGAGGATCATAGTTGAGTCATGATCCCAGTTCAGGTGGGTTTCTTTCTGCTTGGTATGTGTAGAACAATGGCCATGATAAAGTGGATACAAGACATGGACGCTGCAGAAAGAAACGGGTACTGCGTGGTAGTGACACGGGGAAGGAAGAGAAAACGTGTGCAAATCATGAAAGTGTGTTGGCCTGTGTGGGGGGCCTGGGCAGCCTGGAACAATTGTGTTGGGACCTCTCTGGACTGGTCACTGTGTACAACAACACACAACAGAGCACAAGGTTACTATTTAATTCCAAAACTGCTGCTAATGTATATTTGGCACCGAAATTAAAAAGGGAAGATGCGGAAATCTGAGTGTTTCCACCTTTTGCTGCCTCTCGACACATGAAAATGAATCTGAATGCCAAAAAAAACAAAAAACATTTTGTTGTTCAATTCAGTACTAGTGACACTAGTAGTGGGATGATTTTAAAGGAGATTCTTTGTTTTGATATAATGAATAAATGTTTCAGAATTGTATATAATATGAAGAATTTCACTGCAATCGTTGGGTTCATTTTTTTGTCAATGTGTTTTAAAAGGAACCTGAGGTTTGCGTCGGTTTACGATGTACTTTGATTTGCAGAAGGAAAATGCAATGTTTATGCTCTGCTGCCGATTTATAGACATTGGATTATATTTGCATAACACGGTGAATAGATGACGAGGTTCTGGACTGCTAAGTACGAGGTACGCAAAAAAAAAATTTGCGCAAAAAAAAAAAAAAAAAAAAAATGGTTTTAGCAAATGCCCGAACCATTATTCTGTTCTGTATCATTCTGGCAGTGTTACGAAATGATCCCGAAATCATGTTATTTACAAATGTGCATAATGATGTAAATATATATCCTTCTTTTTTTTAGATTCAAATAAAGATGAGTCATTATTCAAAACCAATGCAAATGAGTCTCCTCCTCCTTTTATCAGCATTTCAATATCAAAATGTTTTACATGCTTATACAATACCAATTCACAACATCTGGATAAACCCTACATTACCTCAAAAGCTCTGTCCTCTTTTATTTGTCTCTAGTTCATTGGGCTCTACATTTGAACGGGTGAATCACTGTCAGCCTAAACAGATGTCCCGGTGAAGCACATCTGTAAGCAGAGGGATCAGCAGGACCGGTACTGTGACTAGTCAGAACCAGTGTGTGGCTCCGTCTGTAGACTCTGCACCAGGCACCGGATAGGTTCTGTCAGGTCATGGTTCGGTATCAGCTGGCTGGCCTGCAGGGCTGTGCTGCCAAATCCCAGTGCCTGGCAATAACACACACACACACACACACACACACACACACACACACACACACACA